ATGTTGAAATTTTCAATTCAATCCGATCAAATTACAATTTGAATATCCAATTATGTTCGGTCAGTTATAATTGAATAGGTCGGTTCCTGATTCTTTTCTGGACATCCGAGGACACAACCACCGGTTCCCCTCACCTGGCAAAGGGAAGGTTCTTAAACTGAACCAATTTTATGTTTTTCCTTTTAATTTCAAGGGTCCCTCATCAATTTATTTATTGTTTTTATTTTTAACATAAATGTTTTTCACCTAACCAATAAATATTTTTTGAATTTTTGTTGATTTTATTTTACCTAAAATTTGTTATTGTTGATTTCAATTTTATTTGAATTTTTTTGTTTTTTTTTTTTTGGAAGGGTGTCCGGGCCAAAGCCCGACTAATCCCCGGCAATTTTGGAGGCTAAACATGGCCTCACTTAAATGTCACCAACACTCCCCTCCCAGGGCTCGAACTCAGGTTCATGATTATGCCATGCCCAAGCCTTACCACTAGGCTGGAAGATCTTTGACATTGAATTTTTTTGTTGTCTGATAATAACCAAACTTAATTAGCTGCACATGTGTAATTAAATTTATAATTTATGACTTTAGTTGTGGTAATTTTTATTTATTATAATTTTTAATTTTTATGATTTTTATCAATACAACTTTTATTTTTGTAAATTTTTAGTTATTATGATTTTTAATATTGTAATTTTAATTATAATAAGTATTTTTAAACTATCATAATGTTTTTTATTATAGTTTTTTGTTACATAAATCGTGAACCGATCATGATTAAACGTAAAAGGTTTATAAAATATACTGGAAAAATAATAATGACATGGCGTAAACTAAACCTGTAAAGAAATTCATAGCAGTAAATGATGTTATTTATATTATCTTATTAAGTAAATTTAATAAAAGCTTTTAAAATACTAAAGGACCAAAATACCATTTATACTACCCTTAGGTTACTTTTTCACTTTTTCACCCCCTCCTCTCCTCACATACACTCACCCCCTCATATACACTCACCCTCTCACAACCGATTTTTTTAAATTATAATTTTAAATTTACACTTTATACTCTCATAATTAATTAATTAATTTACTTTACGTTCTTTACTTTTAAATGTTTCATTTTAAACATTTATTAAATTAACATACATAATCGTATATCAATTAAAACATGTTTAAAAAATACATTTTTATTTTAACAAGTTACACCATTATAATCGTCTCGTTAATACCTTCGAAATGAGTTTAATATTGAATAGTTTTTGACTTAATTATATTATTATATATTATATATTATATATACTGTGAAAAAATATTTTTAATATTTACTATTTATACTTTTATAGTTATTTATTTATATATATACTATATATTTTGGGGTTAGGCTGTCCAAATTGCACTGTATAATATGTTCTGAACTAATATCTTCTTTGTTTTTTTTTGAAATATATATATATATATATATATATATATATACATGCTTAATTCAACTTTAATCTGAGTTTTTTTGGTCTTTTCATGGCTTATGACCTGTCAAATTTGTAGTTTTTTTTATTGATTTTGAGTGTTTATCTTAAAACTCAAGTTTCTTGGTTCTTTGTTCTTGGTGTAAATCAAACACATTTGTAGAGTCGTTTAAATATGTTGGATTTTAAATATATTGGATTTTAAACTGTCATATAATTTTTTTCATCGATAGTCTGTAATTAGAACCATAACTATTATTTATTCAAATTGTATTAATATGTAAAGATCAAGTGTAACATATATCATCGTTAAATCTTATCTTATAAAATCAGTGAAACTTCAAAATCGTTAAAATTAATTGCTTCCGCCACATTATATTGATACACAACTAGTTTAACATAAATGGTAGACAACCAAATTCCCACTTGATATAATTTTAAAAACGTTAATCATTAAGTAGTCGTGGTTTGAATAATTCATCATTATAAAAGTAAACACTAGTTTATTTGTCATCCGGAAAGTAGTCGTGGTTTTAATTTTTCATAAAAAAACGTAAATTTCTTTATATATTTTATTAGTAAAAAATCGATAATCGTAGTCTAAAAAAAGAAAAAGAAAAAAGACAAAACCTTTATGGTCAAGTAAAAGGACCACCTTTTGTTCACACCACTTTTTGACTCAACCTAACCATTAATCATTAAAATTGGAACTAATTTCTTACTATAATAATACGTATGTATTAAGGCTGTAAACGAACCGAACGAACACGAATGAAATTTTGTTCATGTTCGTTCGTTTAATTTAACCGAACAAATGAACGAACACGAACGGTAAATGAACGAAAATCTTTGTGTTCATGTTCGTTTAGAAATCTAGTGTGTTCGTTTTCGTTCGTTAACATGCTAAATGAACGTAAACGAGCGAACATAAACGAACGAGCTCAACGAACATAAATAAATATTATTTTAATTCAAAGTAAATAAACAAAAGATTATATATTAAATTTAGTATATAAATGAATGAACATAAACGAATGGTCACGAACATAAATGAACGAACGAGACTCTTGTTCATTGTTCATTTTCGTTCGTTTAACTAAACGAACAAAAAAATTTGTTCATGTCCGTTCATTTATTAAATAAACAAACAAAAAAATTTGTTCATGTTCGTTCATTTATTAAATAAACGAACATAAACGAACTTCCCGCCAAACGGTTTGCTGAACGTTCGATCCATTTACAGCCCTACCTGATGTTATGTTGTTCACACATCTTTCCAAATGTCATATTTTATGACACTCAAGACTATAGGAGGCCTCGTACACAAGTTGAGAAAGTTTGAAAGAAATTCTAAAACTTTGTTTTAGTTGTTCCTTTTTCTCATTGTTTTGTTTTAGCTTGCACCCATCGACAAGTCCGTTGGTCGACCACGAATAGTCTTGAGCCATCGTAGATGAATCTCCATGGACATAAGAGTTTTGGTAGTGCACGGATTCGACCCCGTGAAAAATGGGACTTCCACTGCATCCTCTAACGCTTAACCAGTACATGACAACCCAAATGGTTTTAGTTTCATTCCTTGTTAAATTTAAGTATATATGACAATGGCAAAACTTAATGTATTGAGTTAATCAAAATTCCAAAAACATATTTGGAAATTAAAAAAAAAAGAAAATAAAAAATATGAGATAGTGTCCAAAAATCAAGTAGATTCTTCAATTATATTTCAAAGCAATGATAGTTTAAGATACAAGATTAGAATAATGTTTTATATATTTTATGGGAAGCTTCAGAGAAACTTCAAAGATTTTTTTAGTTTTTAAATTACTAATTAATTTTAATAGTAAATTATTCATTATTATTAATTTTATTAATTATTTTTTTTGTTATTATTATTCAATATATTTGTTATCGTATAACAATTTTAAAGTTGTTTTTTAAATTAAATAAAGGTTAAAGTTATATTTCTTTTGTTTTATAATAACAAAACTTTGATAAACATTTTAATAAATCATTTGATTTACAAAAAAACAATTTAAAAAAAAAATGATATTTTACGTAGAAACTTGAAAGTTTGTTGAAAAGTCAAGAAAGTATTGTGAGATATAGATCGATGGACGGAGCCGTCAATGTGGAATTCTTGGGTTGAAATTGATGTTACAATATTCCTATTCAAATTAAGATTTGGATTTTTGTTGGAAGTAATTGATTATGCTCCAATGCTATGTTATATCTCCAAAACACAAAACTTGTGGTCGGAAATCACTAAAATAGACTTATGTATGGAAATTGAACGTTGACTTTATGACTCATATTAAGAATATACACATATCCAATGTTTGTATTAAGGATAGTAGTTGAAGTATGCAAAAGTACATGCTACACACTTTTAGAAGAAAATAAGTGTAGCTTGGGTTAAAAATGCCGTAAAAACTTGCCAGGATTTAGTTATTTATAAGAATTATGCAATCAAAACAATCAAGAATTTCATTTTCATGTTATGTTTTTACTACATGTACTGAAATATGTACTAATAGTTATAGGCATACCACATAATCTCCAATTCCCAGAAACAAGAAATAGTCATTCAGAAACACATTATTTAATGCCATAGTATTAATCTTACTTGTGCAAATTATTTTTGCTACAACTTGTTCTAATTGACCATTCTATCTCCACTCTACTTCTCCGTCTTAAGTAGATTAGTAATTTTAACGTTATATGTTTCTTTTCTGAACTAACTTCTATCATTTAGAATTTATTCTTTTGGTTGGACAATTTCCGTTTAGGCTCATTACTGCTCTTTTTACGTCTAGCTTCGACATATTTTATGCTTATCGCAAAATGGTTTTGGTCACACGCACATAGCTTGATACTACCTTAGTTACTCATTCACATTTGTCCCTACTTTGTTAATCAAACTCCTTTGGCAAGTTGCTTTCTCCCAATTACGAAAAAAGTGGGATACCATTTAACATCTTGAAATTAAAATAGTAAAAGTTAGATGACATTAGTCCAATTTTTGAATGCGTGTTACCATGTAAGATTCTCGTCCATTGCCAAGCTCATCCGGTGAGGAAAATCGCCCGGTAAGCACTTACCGGGTAAACATTTAGTACACGACCCCTAAACAAATGTCACCTTTGCTTATCGCCTGACCACCTCAGACCACCGAGGTGTACGCCTCAACCAATTTTTACAAATATGTATCTATAAACCCAAGTTCTGAGTATCAATCATTTATCTCAAAAGAAAGAGTTCAATATGTGTTCAAAAAATAACTTAGAAACAATTGTATTTGGAAGAGTTCAAATTTAAAATATCACTCTTTTTTGAAATGAAATGTTTGATTTTAGGGGTTGTTTACCCAAATATTTACTCGGTAAGCGCTTATCGATAAGAGTTAACACTATAATTTATTTTATCGGATAAGTTGAATATTGTGGTCCCACACAAGTTGAAATGATCATCGTGTTAGCAAGATTGTATCTTCTATATAAGGGTGAGCCCAAGAGGAGAAAGTAAGCCTTATTGTGAGTGTGTCTAAAAAGCCATCATTCTTAATTAGTGTAGCAGCTAAAATGGAGTGTTGGTGTGTGAGTAAGATTAAATCATGGTTGTTGATATGGATGACGATTCTTGTTCTCATGGTTTGTCGAATAGAAGGTGGTTGTATAGAAGAGGAGAGAAAGGCGCTGCTAGAAATCAAAACTTCCCTTATTGATTCATACTTTCTCGATTTGGACCAGTTTCTCCCGAGTTGGGTTGATGATGGTAGTATAGGTGGCAAGTGTTGTGATTGGGAGAGGGTCACGTGCAACACAACCACTGGGCATGTAACAAACCTGTCTTTGAGAAACATGGTGGGGATTCCAGAGAAATTTTATGGAGGCTGCAAGAGTATATGGCCATTAAATGTTTCTGTGTTTCTTAATTTTAAAGAGTTAACAAGTCTCAATTTGTCATGGAATTGCCTTGATAACAATATTGTGAACACAGGTAATATGAGTTACCATATTTGCTTGATATGGAATTATTAAAATTGATATCATATACATGTTTGACCATGAATTACAAGCACATTGACTCTATTCATATTCATGAACATCACAGTGATGCAATATGGTGCTTGTAAGTTGACCAAGTAAAATATGTTGACTCAATTATTAGCTATTTATTTTTGAAGTTACCTTCCTTGATATCACGTTATAACTCTTCAATTTTACAGGACTTAGAAGGTTGTCAAGTTTGAAGAAGCTAAAGACACTGGATCTTAGCCTTAATAGCATTGGAAATGAGATCTTTCACTCATTGGGTGCTCTGACTTCACTCAGAGTTTTGAATCTTGGTTACAATAAGTTGGAAGGATACTTCCCTGCTCTTGGCATGTCTTTGGTTCTTCTTAGTTAATATTTGCAATAACATGCAGGTTCTAATTATATGTTTATAATACATGTATTTTGAACAAATTTGCAGCTTTGGAAAACTTGAAGATATTGGATCTTTCTGGAAACTATGATATGGAAGGTAATGAATATGATGTTAAACTCATTCAAGAAGCATTGCTCCTCTCGGATTTGAATGCAATCTTTTCTCTTTACACACAAATATTCTTCCATTCCCAATTTTTTTTTGTCTTCCATTAAATGCAAATTTGACATCTTTTTCTTTTCTCATTTTTTTTTATGAATAATCAGTTTAAAAAATATCAAAAATAATAAGTTGAATATGTTGATTTTTGATTTGAATATGCATTTATAAATGTTTCGTTGGTATTACAGGCTTCGAGCAAGTTTCTCTATTGAAGAAGTTGAAAATTCTAAATCTTCAGTGGAATAATTTCAATGAAAGCCTTATAACATCTTTAAGTGCTCTTCCAATCCTTAAATCCCTAGATTTCAGTTACAATTGGCTAGGATTGTCATTTCCAGTTGAAGGTATGATATATTGATTATCTAACTTCTCACATTTTTGTCTCCTCTCGAATTAACTTAATAGGCTTTATCTTGTTTTTAGTTCATCATAGACATAGATGGACCAAAAATAAATGTGCTGACATCATTTTATTATAAGGAAAAAAAATTGATATTTTTCACAAAATCATCATTGCTTTATTAGTTAATTCTTTGTTTTTCATATATGAGGTCGTGTGTTCAAGTCTTTTATTACAATTTTTTTTCTAGAAACATAATAAATGTGAAACAAAAAAGCTAAAAACTAAGAAAATGACATGAATAAGATTCAAACTCAGGTGTGGGGGGAATAAAAACATTGCAAACTAACTCTAAACTTGTGTCCTTGTAGTTTCAAAATATATATATATATATATATATATATATGGTGACACTTTTCATGATCCTATAATTTTTTACACTACAACGGAGGAATGAAACAATGGCATATGCCACCACTTGAACCCTGATCGTAGATTTATATGTTTATTTATAATTTCTTTACAGGTAGTAGTAGTAGTTGAATCGAAGTTTAAATGTGTAGTTGATTTGTTTATGTTATTCTAGACCTTTAGGAGGTACATGTTACTCTATATTTATACTATTGAAAATGTGCATATATTACATGATATAAATCATAATTGTTTTAACAGTTAGTCATGATAAACAAACAGTTACATTTTTTAAACCACTATTTTGTGTAAGATATATTCAAATCTTAATCATTACCCGAGGAATGGGACCAACTCATGCAATTTTTTTCTAAGAAGTATGCTCATTTCTGTTCTAGACCTCATATTTCAAAAAGAAAAAAAAAAGTAAAAATGTATAAACTACTTCATATTGGCTTTTAAGGGACATTGTGATCCAGAGGAAGGAAACACACATAAATCACTCTTAAAAATTGTTGTGTTTGTTATCATATAAATCAACTGAAGTTCAAAAATAATTTCTAGAGAGAAAAGTATAAAAAATTCGTCAAATTTTCCTATTTTGAATGACTAAATTTCTAAACTTTTTTTAATAAATAAATCTTTGAACTTTTAATAGATAAACTATCAAACTTTTAGAAATTGATTACTTACATCTATTAATTTGACCAAATCTTACGTCATTCAAACCTATTGTATACAACACCATTACTCCCCCTCCCATCACTTGCCACCTCTAGCCACCCCATCATTGTCCGCTTTTTACACGGCCCATCACCGTAGTTGGTCCTTGCTATTGATCTTCCTGTTTTTTATTCTTTTTTGTTTTGCGTTTCTCTCTCCTTTTTAATCTTTTTATACATACTCTATTAAATTGTTGTAAATGAGGGAGAACCGAAAGACAAAAAGTCAGATAAAAAAGAGGGAGATCGAGTCACAAGGTTCGGGAACAACAAAACTGATTTAATTTTTTTTTTACTTTAAAACCTCCCAACCTATTATAATAAAAATGTAAATCAACCGTTAAAAGTTCGGCGGTTTATTTGTTAAAAGAATACCGATATTAGTATAAAATTAACTATTTAAAAATTCTTGTTTTTTGTGTAATTTCTTTGATTCAATTTTTTTTATTATAATTTAGTTTAGGTCTAATAATGAATCAATTTATTTTTAGTTTAATAATATAATTTTTTTTATAAAGATAATAATTAAGTATTCTATTAGTTTAATAATGAATCAATTTACTTTTAGTTTAATAATATAATTATTTATAAAGATAATAATGAAATATTCTATTAGAACTCAACGATTATCATAATTATATTTTTTATTTTTTATATTTAAAATGTGATGTTTATCCTATACATGATTATGTTTATTTGCAATTAGTTACGCAAATTAAAATAATAGAGGTTTAATAAGTTGTACTTATACAAAATTTATTTGTAATCCTAAACTTTAAATAATATGTATCGATAAACAGTACTTTATACATAAAAAATAGGTTTTAAATTTTTTTGTTAAATTCTTTATAATATAAATATATAGAAATGAAAGAGAAGGAGGTGACCATAAGGGCATGATACTTGTCACAATGGCATTGTTCAAATATGTATTATTGAATGGTCATGTTATTGAGGAATATTTTCATTTATACGCAATTTTAAGGATGAGATCATGAATAAGTTTAGTCTTATTATGACATAATGATTGCTTCATATTATATGAAAGAAAGTGAACAAAATGAATAAAACTATGTCATCTATAATCACGATTGTCTTTGAAACTACTTAACATATATTTCGGTCAAACTAGTTTCAAAATCTACATTTTAAATGACATTTGATTACTTTATTTATGTTTTGGTTCATGTAACAGAATTAGCCCAGCTCACTAATTTAGAGGAGTTGGATTTAAGTCATACTTATCTCAGCGGCACACCAAGTATCCAAGGTAAAAGGAGATCTAGCCATAGTAACTTGTGCATACTTAAAAAAATATGAAGAAACAAAAATGGTTTCATAAAAAGTTCATTGTTTTTCTACAGAATGCACAAGATTATCGAGATTGAAAAAGTTGAAGAGTATAAGTCTTCAATGGAATGATTTCAACAAGAGCATCATTTCATGCTTAAGTACTCTCCCATCCCTCAAGACTCTTGATCTTTCACATGGTACTTTATCGGGAGGTTCTTTTCCCATCAAAGGCATGTTCTACACGACTAAATTTTATTTTTATTATTGTTTATTGATTTCCCTTTTAAATGGTTAGAGTGTTAAAAAAAATTAATTGGTTAAATTGCAATAAAAAGTAGAGCAAATTGCATAGGAATATAACCATTTTGGTCTTATTCATATTTTATGTAACATACTTTCAAAATTTTAATCCTTACCGAAGGAATTAGACCAACTCATGCAATTTTTGTTCTAGACCTCGTATTTTCGAAAAGAAAAAAAAGAAATAACAAATGTACTATAAACTACTTCATCTTGGCTTTTAAGGGATATTGTGATCCAGAAGAAGGAAACACAGGTAAATTACTCTTAAAAATTGTTATGTTCGTATCATATAAATCAGTTGAAGTTTAAAAATAATTTCTAGAGAGAAAAGCGTAGAGAAACTCATCAAATTTTCCTATTTAAAATGACTAAATTTCTGAACTTTTTCTTAACAAATCAATCTTTGAACTTTTCATCTTGTATGATTTTTTGCATCATTTTTTATAGATAAACCATCAAACTTTTAGAAATTGATTACTTACATCTATTAATTTGACCAAACCCTACGTCGTTCAAACCTCTTGTATGCAACACCATTACTCCCCCTCCCATCCCTTGCCACCTCTAGCCGTCCCATCGTTGTTCGCTTTTTACACCGCCCATCACCGTTGTTGGTCCTTGCTATTGATCTTCTTCTTTTTGATTCTTTTTTGTTTTGTATTTCTCTCTCCTTTTTTTATCTTTCCATACATACTCTATTATGTTGTTGTAAAAAAGGGAGAATCGAAAGACAAATTCAGATAAAAAAAAGGGAGGGAACAATAAAACTGATTATAGACAAATGTAAGTAACCAACTTTTAAAATCTTAACGATTTATTTGTAAAAAAAATATTCAAAGACTTAATTATTCAAAATGAGAAAATTTGATGGTTTATTAATTTTAAAAAAAGTTCAAGGCTTTAAATATAATAATTCAAAATAAAAAAATTTCTTGAATTTTTCCAAACTTTTCCCAATTTCTAGATGAAAATTTTGGATTTATTTAGAATTTTTGTCATAATAAACAATTAATCATGTTTTAAAATCTCTTAGCAAAATAATAATCAAATTTTAGAAAAATCATGTGCTTGGTATCATTTAACAATCTAAAACAACAAATGATTTTTAATATAACAAAAAATTTATCATAAGAATTGCTTAAAAAGAAAGGTTGAAGTTGTGACATTATTTTTTACACATATATAATTGACTATTTTTTTATTTTAAATTATTTAAGTTCTAAAAAAATTATCATTATAAAAGCTAAATCGCTTTTTATAAAAGATTCACATTTTATTAAAATGATAATAACCAATTGCGTATGTGTCTCTTTATTTATTTCAGAGCTGCTTCATTTATCTGATCTGGAAGTCCTCCTCTTAAAAAATAATGATTTCAATGGAACATTACCAATGGAAGGTAAGCATTATTTCTTCATCCTTTTACAACATTATTGTTATTGCTTTTAAAAAAGTAATCAAGTTATCGACTCATTCTAAACATGAAAAAATGATCCTTAATTATTTAACAAATCCTTTTTTAATGTTTTTGTTTGAATACGTATATTAATGCTTAGTTCACTCTTGTTGTTTTCTAGCTTTCACATCTTTTCACCATCTGAAGGTCTTAGATTTGAGTGCTAATGAATTTGTTGGGAGCATCGCATCAACAATAAATGCATTATCACCTTCCATTAGAGTTGTCTCATTTGCTTACAACAAGCTCAACGGCTCGATACTTGGTATGTTATCTAGACCATTCGTGATTTAAAACATACGAAAGCAAAGTTCATATAGCATATATAGCTACATCCATGTACACTTTCCGTTACATTACATTAGCCCGATAGTTGATCTTTGATATCATATGACCATGCAAGTGTGAGTCGTTACATTACATTAGTCTGATTGTTTTATTTAATTATTTCTTTTCACAGGTCTATGTGAGTTGAAGAACCTTTGGGAGTTGGATCTTAGTCACAACATGTTCGAGGGAAACCTGCCTCACTGTTTCAATAGTCTATCATCTCTTAAGTTGTTGGATATTTCTTCAAATCAATTCACGGGAACACTTCCGCCATCACTAATCGCCAATCTCACATCTCTTGAGTATGTTGATTTTAGTGATAACAAATTTGAAGGTGCATTCTCATTTAGCTCATTCTCCAGTCATAAAAAGCTAGAGGTAGTTATATTTAAATGCAACAATGACAAATTTGAGATGGAAACWGAAGAGCCCATGGGTTGGATTCCGATGTTTCAGTTGAAAGCTCTTGTGCTCTCTGGTTGCAATCTAAATAGGCCTAAAGCAAGTGTTGTTCCTGGGTTTCTTCTTCAGCAACGCATGTTACGGATGATAGACCTATCACACAACTCTTTGAGGGGACAGTTTCCGAATCGGTTGATTGAGAATAATACAATGTTGGAAGCACTTATTCTAAGGAACAACTCATTTGGTGGTACTATTAGTATGCCGCTGCATACTCATGCTAACCTAATATGGTTGGACATGTCCGAAAATCAGATTTTACGTACCATTCCGGGCGATATTCATAAGTTCTTTCCATATTTAGCATATTTAAATTTGTCCAGGAATATTTTAGATGGTTCTATATCTTCAATTGCGGATCTGGGTTGGTTAAACGCACTGGATTTATCTGATAATGAGTTCTCAGGAGAAGTACCAAACCGGCTGTTCACAAATATTTCAGACTTATCGGTATTGAAATTATCAAAGAACCTATTGCATGGCATGGTACTTTCAGGAAACTTAAGCTTCGGTCATTTTAGTTCTCTTGCCTTAGATAACAATTGTTTCACTGGGAAAATTGGGAATTGGACTAGCAAAGACTCTTATTTGGAGACTATGGATATTAGCAATAACTTTTTTACAGGTAGAATCCCCCATTGGATAAGCAACATGAGTCAAGAGTTTGAACTTGTTGCGAGAAATAATAGTTTGGAAGGCCCATTTCCTTGCGGAAAAACACCATTCTCGTTTCTGGATATCTCACAAAATTCTTTCTCGGGGCCCATCCCATCGTGCTTAAATTTCCAAGAAATGAAGCATCTTCATTTGGGTTCCAACAAATTCACCGGATCAATACCCAATGTATTTCGTAGTTTGCCTCGGGTTTTAACTTTGGATATAGGCAACAACTCCTTGTCAGGACGGATACCCAAATTTCTTGTTAATCTATCCGATTTAAGGATCCTAATTTTGAGAGAAAATAACTTTAGTGGTTCTATTCCAAAGCAGTTGTGCCAATTAAGTGATGTGAGTTTGATAGATTTAGCCGGTAACTCTATCTCTGGTTCAATACCTTCTTGCCTCCAAAATGTTATAAGCCCTATCAAACCTGTTTTCAGAGAACTAACAATTTCCATCTATGAGACTTCCTCCCGATACCATCAGAGTGTTCTGTTTAAAGAGTATAATTCATTATTGTGGCTGGAAATACTTGGGATGCAAGACGAAGTTCAGTTTACAATAAAAACTCACTATCGTTCCTACAAAGGTCACATTCTTGATTTGATGGTGGGACTGGATCTATCATGTAATAAACTAGTTGGTGAAATCCCAAAAGAACTAGGGTTATTGACCCAGATTCACTCTTTGAATCTGTCTCACAATCAGTTGACAGGAACCATTCCAATGCAATTCTCAAATCTTGAGAATATAGAGAGCTTGGACCTTTCTTACAATGGTTTGAGTGGCAAAGTTCCATCAGAACTAATTAAGCTGAATTCTCTTGCTTATTTTAATGTTTCTTACAACAATCTATCAGGAAAACTCCCAGATATGAAAGCACAGTTTAGTACCTTTACCAGTGAGAGCTATGAAGGGAATCCACTTCTTTGTGGGCCACCACTAGAGAAGAAATGCACGTCTACATCACAGGTGACCGATGCATCAGGTGAAGAAGGCATTGATAAATGGTATGAGATCGATATGGTATCCTTCTACGGAAGTTCTGGTGCAACATGGGTTGTGTTCCTGTTGGGATTTGTTGGTGTTCTTTACATCAATCCTTATTGGCGTAGAAGGTGGCTAGACTTGATTGAAGAATGTATGTATACATTCTATTACTTCCTTGATGATTTAGTAAGGAAGCTGTCGACGCTCTTTCGTAAATAGTTGTGTGATTTATGTATTTATATTTTTCTGTTATAAATAAATGTATAAGTAGACTCTGGGTAAAAGAAAAGTTTGATTTATGGTAGCAAAAATGGAAGTATCGTGATTTGTGTTGCTTACTGTTATTATCCTTGACTTACTTATGTCCAAACTCCAACTGCTAAACCAGTGTTGTTGCCGGTCTCGCCACCAGGCTACCCAATACGTCCCCCGTGCAACATCACTTCACTTCTTTCAGTACATAAGATGTGAACTAATAATATTATGGAAGGGATGATATTCAACAATGGATTTAGGGGTCGTTTACCAAACGCTTATCCTAGTAAGCGCTTACCAAGTAACATTACCTCACCAGATGAATATAGTCAGGACCAAGAATCTTACCCGGTAAGAGCAAGACAATGACCAAGAGTCTTATCCGGTAAGTGAAGGCGACGACTCTTACTATGGTAAGCGTTTACTGGGTGAATTGTTGTATACTATGTCGTTTTGGTAGACTAAAATCTTACCCGGTAAGTATATAATAGTGTTAAATTTTATCGGTAAGCACTTACCGGGGTAAATGTTTGATAAACGACCCCTTACTCTCACTTTATTCACTTCATAAAAATCAAAGAAATTTCAACATCGTTTCCCTTTATTCACTTCATAACATATTCATATGTAATCTTTATATAAATCTCTTAACTACAAAATTTAGGTTTTACATGGGAACTTCAAAGTTTGTTGGAAATTCAAGAAATATTTATATCGTGTTATAATAAGTATTAGGACAATGATTCATACTCTAATATAATACAAATTGTACAGTACAAAAGGACAAGTAGAAGGAGTAATTGATAATAAAGTAGTGTTGGATTGAAATTGACTTTTGACTTAATAGTGGGTTGCACATATTATGTAATATTCTCGGTGAAATGTGTACTTACAGGAAAACCAACTTTACGTATAGTATTAGTAATTAGGGGGTCTGTTCACTGTGTTTTTGCTTTGTCTAATTTCACTCGTTTGATATAGAGCAATCACGAGCAATCAAATAAGATGTTAGATTGTGAATGATGATTTTTGACACTGCCAAGCTTACTTGGTTACTTAAACATAACCATGTAAGAAAATTAATATCGTTAATCTGCTATGATGAGTATGACTTCAACTTCCAAGTTATACCTCTATTATAGTATCTGGTTTTTAAACAACCGGTTAACAAAATGGGGTACCATTTGTTAACTCGGGCACATGTTTGTTTTAATTAGTACCCGTTTTTCCTATTTTTCTATTACAATTTAGAGGGTGTTATGAACGTTTTCATAGTAGTGTTTTAAACAAATCATATGATGCA